TTCAACAAGAAGAGCTAACTATCCCAAATACATATGCACCTGATACAGGAGCACCCAGATTCACAAAGCAAGTTATTAGAAACCTACAAGGAGGCTCAGACTCCCACACAGTAATAGTGGGATACTTTAACACTCCACTGACAGTATTAGACAGATCATCGAGACAAAAAATTAACAAAGATATTCAGGATCTGAACTCAGCTGTGGATCAAGTGGCCCTAATAAATACTTACAGGAACTCTCCACTCCAAAACAACAGAATGTACATTCTTGTCATCGCCACATGGCATTTACTCCAGAATTGACCACATATCAAAAGGAAAACACTCTTTAGCAAATGCAAAAGAACTGAAAACATAACAAACAGTCCCTTAGACCACAGTGTAATCAAATTAGAACACAAGATTAAGAAACTCGCTTAAAACCACACAACTACATGAAATTGAACAACCTGCTCTTGAATAAGAAATTAAGGCAGAAATCAAGAAGTTCTTTGAAACTCATGAGAACAAAGAGACAACATATCAGAATCTCTGAGATGCAGCTAGAGCAGTGCTAACAGAGAAATTTATAGCATTAAATGGCCACATCATAAAGCTACAAAGATCTGAAGGACCTAACACCTCAACTAAAAGAACTAGAGCACCAAGAGCAAACAAACCCCAAAGCTAGCAGAAGACAAGAAATAACCAAGATCAAAGCTGGACTGAATGATACAGAGACATGAAAAACCCTTCAAAAAAAAAACAAAAAAAAAAAAACAATGAATCTGGGAGCTGGTTTTCTTAAAAAAATTAATAAAATAGATCACTAGCTAGACTAATGAAGAAAAGAGAGAAGAATCAAATAAACATGATCAGAAATGATAAGGGAGATACCACCACGACCCCACAGAAATACAACCAACCATCAGAGAATACTATAAACACTTCTATGCACATAAACTAAAAAAATTTTAAAAATAAACTAAAAAATTGGAAAATAAATTCCTGGACACATACATGCTCCCAAGACTGAACTAAGAAGAAACTGAAATCCTGAACAGACCAATAACAAGTTCTGAAACTGAAGCAGTAATAAATAGCCTACCCACTAAAAAAAGCCTGGGACATGATGGATTGACAGTTGAATTCTACCAGAGGTACAAAGAAGAGCTGGTTCCATTTCTACTGAAACCATTACCAAAAAATTGAAAAGAAAGAACTTTTCCCTAATTCATTCTATGAGGCCAGCATCATCCTGATACCAAAACCTGGCAGAGATAATACAACCACCACAACAAAACTTCAGGTCAATATACTTGATGAACATCGATGCAAAAATCCTCAACCATACACTGGCAAACCAAATTCAACAATCACATCAAAAAGCTTATCCACCACAATAAGTTGGCTTCATCCCTGAAATGCAAGGGTGAATCAACATACACAAATCGAAAAATGTAATTCAACACAAAAACAGAACCAAAGACAAAAAACCACACGATTAACTCAATAAATGCAGAAAAGGCCTTCGATAAAATTCAACATCCTCTCATGTTAAAAACTCTAAGAAGACTAGGTGTTGAAGGAACATACCTCAAAATAATAAGAGCCATATATGACAAACCCACAGCCAATATCTCATTGAATGAGCAAAAGCTGGAGGCGCTGCCCTTGAAAACCAGCACAAGAGGATGCCTCCTCTCACCAGTTTGGTTTTTTTTTTTTTTTTTGAGATGGAGTCTCACTCTGTCACTCAGGCTGGAGTGCAGTAGTGCAGTCTCAGCTGACTGCAACCTCCGCCTCCTGAGTTCAAGCGATTCTCATGTCTCAGCCTCCCGAGTAGCTGGGACTACAGATGTGCGCCACCACGCCCAGCTACTTTTTTTGTATTTTCAGTAGAGACAGGGTTCCACCGTGTTGGCCAGGCTGGTCTCAAACTCCTGACTTCAGGTGATCTGCCTGCCTCGACCTCACAAAGTGTTAGTATTCCAGGCATGAGCCACGGCGCCTGGCCTAACCACTTCTATTAAACATAGTATTGGATGTTCTGGCCAGGGCAATTAAGCAAGAGAAAGAAATCAAGGGTATCCAAGTAGAAAGAGAGGAAGTCAAATTATTTTGATAACTAGTTTGCAGATGATACAACCCTATATCTAGAAAACCCCATTGTCTCAGTCCAAAAGCTTCTTAAGCTGGTAAGCAACTTCAGCAAAGTCTCAGGATACAAAATCAATGTGCAAAACTTGCTAGCATTCCTACACACCAACAACGGGCAAGCAGAGAGCCAAATAATGAATTTGAATGGGAATTCTGAATTCCCATTCATAATTGCTACAAAAAGAATAAAATACCTAGGAATACAGCTAACAAGGGCAGCGAAGGACCTCTTCAAGGAGAACTACAAACCACTGCTCAAAGAAATCAGAGGGGAGACAGACAAACAGAGAGACATTCCATGCTCATGGACAGGAAGAATCAATATTGTGAAAATGACCATACTGCCCAAAGTAATTTATAGATTCAATATTATTCCCATTAAACTACCATTGACATTCTTCACAGAATTAGAAGAAAACTGTTTTTGTGTGTGTGTTTTTTTTGTTTTGTTTTGTTTTATTGAGACGGAGTTTCCCTCTTGTCACCCAGGCTGGAGTGCAATGGCGCGATCTCGGCTCACCGCAACCTCCGCCTCCTGGGTTCAGGCAATTCTCCTGCCTCAGCCTCCTGAGTAGCTGGGATTACAGACACGCGCCACCATGCCCAGCTAATTTTTTGTATCTTTAGTAGAGACGGGGTTTCACTATGTTGACCAGGATGGTCTCGATCTCTTGACCTCGTGATCCACCCGCCTCGGCCTCCCAAAGTGCTGGGATGACAGGCTTGAGCCACCGCACCCGGCTGAAAACTGTTTTAAAGTTCACATAAAACAAAAAATAAAGCCTGCATAGCCAAGAAAATTCTAAGCAAAAAGAATGAAGTTGGAGGCACCATGTTATCCAACTTCAAACCATATTATAAGGCTACAGTAACCAATATAGCATGGCACCCGTATAATAACAGACACATAGACCAATGGAACAGGATAGAAACTCCTAAGTAAGACTGCACACCTATAACCATCATATCTTTAACAAACCTGACAAAAACAAGCAATGGGGAAGGATTTCCTGTTTACTAAATGGTATTGGGATAACTGGCTAGACATATGCAGAAAGTTGAAGCTGGACCCCTTCCTTACACCATATACAAAAATCAACTCAAGATGGACTAAATACTTAAATGTAAAACCCACAACTATAAAAACCATAGAAGAAAATCTAGGCAATACCATTCAGGACATAGGCATGGGCAAAGATTTCGTGACAAAAACACCAAAGTAATTGCAACAAAAGCAAAAATTGACAAACAGGATCTAATCAAACTAAAGAACTTCTGCACAGCAAAAGAAACTATCATCAGAGTGAACAGAAAACCAGCAGAATGGGAGAAAATGTTTGCAATCTATCCATCTGACAAAGGTCTGATATCCAGGGTTTACAAGGAACTCAAGCAAATTTACAATAAAAAACCAAACAACCCCATTAAAAAGTAGCAAAGGACATGAACAGACACTTCTCAAAAGAAGACATAAATGCAGCCAAGAAACATGAAGAAAACCTCAACATCACTGATCATTAGAGAAATGCAAATCAAAACCACAGTTTTTGTACAGACAGGGTCTCACTGTGTTGCCCAGGCTGGTCTCAAACTCCTGGGCTCAAGCGATCCTCCCATCTCAGCCTCCCAAAGGGCTGGGATTTACAGGTGTGAGCTACGGTGCCCAGCTTAAATGCCTATTTTTGACATCAGTAGATTAAAAGAGCAAAATTATATGATCCTCTCAAGAGTTGCCACAAGCATTTCGATAAAATCTATAATTATCTACAATTTTTTAAATTAAGTAATTCAGCTAAAAAAGGTAACTTTCTTAATCTGGTGTAGTATATCAATCTGAAATCTCCAGGCCAGGCCACAAATGCTATAGTGAACCATTTCCAATCAAACAAAACCAAGAAAACATCGGGTATCATCTGTGCTGGAGGCTCCAACCATTGTAAGAAGACAAGAAAAATAAATAAAAGATAAAATATGTCCCAGTACTTTGGGAGGCTGAGGCGGGTGGATCACGAGGTCAAGAGATCGAGACCATCCTGGTCAACATGGTGAAACCCCGTCTCTACTAAAAATACAAAAAATTAGCTGCGCAAGGTGGCACGTGCCTGTAATCCCAGCTACTCAGGAGGCTGAGGCAGGAGAATTGCCTGAACCCGGGAGGCGGAGGTTGCTGTGAGCCGAGATCGCGCCATTGCACTCCAGCCTGGGTAACGAGAGCGAAAACTCTGTCTCAAAAAAAAAAAAAAAAAAAAAAAAAAAAAAAAAAAAAAAATATGGGAGGAGAGTGATCAAATAGTCTTTATTAGAAGAAAACATTATATTTTATCTAGAGCTGTCAAAATAATCAGTTTGATAAACTACTAACAATGAGTTCCATAAGATGACTGGATGTAAGATCAATATGCAAAAATCAATAGCTGTGACTAATTAGCAAATGCAATTACAAAAATCTGTTTTGAATAGCCTTAAATATTGAAGAATGCCCTGGTATAAATCTAGAAAGAATGCACAGGCCTTTGTGGAGGAAAGTTTAGTAAGGAATGGTTTTTAAATGAGCTAAAAGAGACTTTTAAGTTCAATTTACAATCTTAAGGAAAGCTATGCCTTTAAATTTGTGCTCTTGATATACTGCATACCAACTTCACACCAAAGCAGCTGTAAGTACTTTTCTGCATACAACAGACCCAATCAGAAAGAAAACAATGCAACATCCACACTGACAAACAAATAAACGTAGATCGATGGGTGGGGACTCCAGTCCCCAAACACCTGGACCCCCTGAGCTGGCAGACCACTTTCTTCCCTGTGGTGGAGTGGAAGAAGCCTTCACCCTGCCCACAGAGCCCTGCACTGTATTCCTACCTTGTTGTGAGACTAGTCCCCATCCTGTGGCCCAGCAGTTAGCACTGGTGAGGTCCAGATCTGGAGGTGGAAGGCAGACCGGGAGCACAGAGTCAGAAAACGCAATGCGGCTCTTCAGCTGCACCAGCGCCACGTCGCCTCCGATGGGGTGGTCCACCTCGTACGAGGGATGCAGGATCACCCGTTCCACCTCATACCACTGGGTGTGGTTGCCGGCCACCCTGAGGTTCACAAGGCCTACGTACATGTCGTAGATCTGGATGTTCTTGTCCCTGCGGGGGTGAGAACAGAGGGACAATGCCTGCTGCCTCCTGTGTGGTCAGCCCACAGGCCTGGGGAGACCAAGCACAGGAGGCTGGCGCCCACTCAGTGGGACCGAAAAGCCAGCTTCTTCGGCAGCACAGCAGGGACCTATCTGGCTGTCTGGCAGAGGTGCCCCCTAAGGAGTCCACTTGGCCCATGGAGGCTGGGAACCAAAGTCTGTACAGGCCAGGAGCCTGTGAGACCTGCTCTCATTCCTACCGACAACCTGGCTGCTCACATCCCTGTGGAGGCCAGATGGCCACAGAAGAGCCATGCCTGCTGTGCGGGGCAGCGGTGGTGAACCAGCGGCTGGAGGAGCCACCAGGAAGGCCAGGGGCTTGGAGACCAGCCTCACTCATGGGAACCTGGCTGTGCACTTGGGGGACCAGCGTCACTCATGGGGACCTGGCTGTGCACTTGGGGGACCAGCCTCACTCATGGGGACCTGGCTGTGATCTTGGGGACCACAGCGTCACTCTTGAGGACCTGGCTGTGCACTTGGGGGACCAGCGTCAAGGGTGGGGACCCAGTTGCGTGCTTTGACCCAGCCTGACTGGTGGGGACCTGGCCCTGTGGGGGTGGACAGCGGTGAAGGGGGAGGCTTGCGTGGGATCCATCCGAGCCGCTAAGGGCACAGCGTGCAGGCCCAGCTCCCCACACCGTCCCGGGCCCGCGCCCCCTCACCGGTCGAAGCAGTGCGCAGCCGACAGCACCCAGTACTCGTTGAGGATGGAGCCGCCGCAGACGTGGAGGCCCGCGTAGTGCACGCTGACCTGCCACGGCCACCTCCTCTCCCGCGCGGGGCGGCCACCCAGGATCTTCCCCTCCGTGCTGGGCCGGCCACAGGCTGCAGGGAGCACAGAGCCCACGGTGGAGCCACGCTGGGGCCACGGGAGGGGCGGGACGGGAGGGCACGCGGGGGAGGGGCGTGGACAGGAGGAAGGGGGAGCGGGGAGTGCGGGGGAGGGGCGTGGACAGGAGGAAGGGGGAGCGGGGGGTGCGGGGGAGGGGCGTGGACAGGAGGGAGGGGGAGCGGGGGACGCGGGGGAGGGGCGGGGACAGGAGGGAGGGGGAGCGGGGGACGCGGGGGAGGGGCGGGGACAGGAGGGAGGGGGAGCGGGGGACGCGGGGGAGGGGCGGGGACAGGAGGGAGGGGGAGCGGGGGACGCGGGGGAGGGGCGGGGACAGGAGGGAGGGGGAGCGGGGGACGCGGGGGAGGGGCGGGGACAGGAGGGAGGGGGAGCGGGGGACGCGGGGGAGGGGCGGGGACAGGAGGGAGGGGGGAGCGGGGGACGCGGGGGAGGGGCGGGGACAGGAGGGAGGGGGACCGGGGGTGTGGGGGAGGGGCGGGGACAGGAGGGAGGGGGAGCGGGGGACGCGGGGGAGGGGCGTGGACAGGAGGGAGGGGGAGCGGGGGACGCGGGGGAGGGGCGTGGACAGGGAGGGGGAGCGGGGGACGCGGGGGAGGGGCGTGGACAGGAGGGAGGGGGAGCGGGGGGTGCGGGGGAGGGGCGGGGACAGGAGGGAGGGGGAGCGGGGAGATGCGGGGGCGGGGGCGGGGACGGGCCAGCGACACTGGCGGGGGAGGCCCCGGGGCTCTGTCTCCAGCCAGCCGCCCGCCCGCCCGCCGGCCCCCCACCCCACAAGACCTACCCACGCTGCGAGTTAGGGAGATTCCCTGGTTCTCCGCGTGTCTGTGGCCCGAGGCGGCGACCCGGGCTGCGGGCCCCACCAGCAGCAGCAGCAGCAGGCCCAGGGCGGAGGGCCCGGGTGTTCCCATGCCGGACGCAGGGGCAGCCGTGAGGCCCGAGGCAGCGCCCCCAGCGGTGACGGCCTCGACACGTGACCGCGTCTCCAGCTCCAGGGTGGCGCCCCCGCCAGGTGACGGCGCTCCCCGCAGGAGAGGGCGCCTGACCTGGACACGTGACTGCGCTCCCAGCACGTGTCCGCCTCGGGATTTACCTCTCCCGACCTGGGCACATGACGGCTCCCGAGCTGGACGTCTGACGCTGCGCGACCGTTCCTCAGCGTAGGTTTGGCATGCCTTCCCACAGCCAGGTCCCCTCGAGAACTGTGTGTTTTAAATCCTGATGTTCTCAGCCTTCTCCGTGGCCAACTTAATTGTTAGGTCGATGACAATGGATACGTCTGCTGCCCCGCTATAAAAAGAGAGAGAGAGATTGAGAGAGAGAGAAAGAAGGTCAGGCATGGTGGCTCATGCCTGTAATCCCAGCACTTTGGGAGGGTGAGGGAGGCAGGTAGATCAGTTGAGGTCAGGAGTTTGAGACCAGCCTGGCCAACATGGCAAAACCCCGTCTCTACTAAAAATATAAAAAATTGGCCAGGCATGGCGGCATGCGACTGAAATCCCAGTTCCTCAGGAGGCTGAGACAGCAGAATCACCTGAACCTGGGAGGTGGAGGCTGCGGTGAGCCAAGATCACACCACTGCACTCCAGCCTGTGCAGCAGAGCAAGACTCCATCTCAGAAAACAAACAAACAAAAAATTCATTAAGCCCTCATTTATACCTGGTAAAATTTATCCCATTGATTTTACATTACGGCGAGTTGTATAATTATTTCACTATATATTACAATGTAATAATGATAGAAATAAAGAGGATAATAAATGTAATGTGCTTGAATCATACCAAAACCATTTCCCTGCCAGGAAGAGACTTTGGAACTGGGTAAGAGGCAGAGGTTGCAACAGTTTGGAGGGCTCAGACGAAGACAGGGAAATGTGGAAAAGTTTGGAAATTCCTAGAGACTTGTTGAATGGCTTTGACCAAAATGCTGATAATGATATGGACAATGAAATCCAGGCTGAGGTAGTCTCAGCTGGAGATGAGGAACTTGTTTGGAACTAGAGTAAAGGTAATGCTGACTATGTTTTATCAAAGATACTGGCAGCATTTTGCCCTGCCCTAGAGATTTCTGGAACTTTGAACTTGACAGAGATGATTTAGATTATCTGGTGGAAAAAAAATTCTAAGTGGCAAGGCATTCAAGAACTGACTTGGTGCTATTAAAAGCATTCCGTTTTAAAAGGGAAACAGAGCATGAAAGTTTAGAAAATTTGTAGCCCGACAACGTGATAGAAAAGAAAAACCCGTTTTCTGAGGAGAAGTTCAAGCCGGCTGCAGAAAGTTGCATGAGTAATGCGAAGCCAAATGTTAATGGGGAAAATGTCTCCAGGACTCGTCAAAGAGCTTTCTGGCAGCCCCTCTCATTGCAGGCCTGGAGGCTTAGGAGGAAAAAATGGTTTCGTGGGCCAAGCCCAGGGCCCCCATGCTGTGGGCAGCCTAGGGACGTGGTGCCCTGCATTCCAGCTGCTCTAGCCATGGCTAAAAGGGACCAAGGTACAGCTCAGGCCATGACTTCAGAGGGTGCAAGCCCCGAGCCTTTGCACCTTCCACACTGTGTTGAGCCTGTGGGTGCACACAAGTCAAGAACTGAGGTTTGGGGACTTCTGCCTAGATTTCACAGGATGTATGGAAATGCCTGGATGTTCAGGTGGAAGTTTTCTGGAGGGGTGGGGTCCTCATTGAGAACCTGTGCTAGGGCAATGCAGAAGGGAAATGTGGTAACCCACATAGAATCCCCACTGGGCACTGCCTAGTGGAGCCTTGAGAAGAGAGCCACTGTCCTCCAGAGCCCAGAATGGTAGATCCACCAACAGCTTGAACTATTCAACTGGAAAAGCTGCAGATACTCAATGCCAGCCTGTGAAAGCAACCAGGAGGGAGGCTGTACCCTGCAAAGCACAGGGAAGAGCTGCGCAAGACCATGGGAACCCATCTGCATCAGCATGACCTAAATATGAGACATAGCACTAAAAGAGATTACTTTGGAGCTGTAAGATTCGACTGCTCCGCTGGATTTCTGACTTGCATGGGGCCTTCAGCCCCTTCATTTTGGCCCATTTCTCCCATTTGGAATGGGCATATTTATCCAAATGGGATATAAAATCAACTTGCTTTTGATTTTACAGGCTGATAGGCAGAAGGGACTTGCCTTGTCTCGGATGAGATTTTGGACTGTGGACTTTTTTGTTAATGCTGAAATGAGTTGACTTTGGGGGATTGTTGGGAAGGCATGATTGGCTTTAAAATGTGAGAATGTGAGATTTGAGAGGAGCCAGGGGAGGAATGATATGGTTTGGCTGTGTCCCTACCCAAATCTCATCTTGAATTGTAGCTCCCATAATTCCCACGTGTTGTGGGAGGGACCCCAGTGGGAGATAACTGAGTCACGGAGGTAGTTTCCCTGTACTGTTCTTATAGTAGTGAATAAGTCTCATGAGATCTGATGGTTTTATAAGGGGGAAACTCCTTTCACTTGGTTCTCATTCTCTCTTCCTGCCACCATGTAAGTTATGACTTACTCCTCCTTGCCTTCCTCCATGAATGTGAGGCCTCCCCAGCCATGTGTAAACTATGAGTTCATTAAACCTCTTTTTCTTTTTCTTTTTCTTTTTGAGACGGAGTTTCGCTCTTGTTACCGGGTTGGAGTGCAATGGCGCGATCTCGGCTCACCGCAACCTCCGCCTCCTGGGTTCAAGCAATTCTCTTGCCTCCGCCTCCTGAGTAGCTGGGATTACAGGCACACGCCACCATGCCCAGCTAATTTTTTTTTTTTTTGTATTTTAGTAGAGACGGGGTTTCACCATGTTGACCAGGATGGTCTTGATCTCTCGACCTCGTGATCCACCCGCCTCGGCCTCCCAAAGTGCTGGAATTACAGGCTTGAGCCACCGCGTCCGGCCAAACCTCTTTTTCTTTATAAATAACCCAGTCTCAGGTATGTCTTTATGAGCAGCATAAAAACAGATTAATAAATGCAATTCCATTTGTCTATTTTTGTTGTTGTTGTTGCCTGAGCCTTTGGGGTCATTCCAAAGATTTCTTGCCTAAGCCAATGTTGTGAAGTTTTTCCCTATGTTTTCTTTTGGTAGTTTTACAGTTTCAGGTCCAAGTATTTAACCCATTTTGAGTTGAGTTTTGTGCCTGGTGTAAGATAAGGATGTAATGTTACTCTTCAGCATGAGGATAATCAGTTTTCCCAACATCATTTATTGAATAGTCTGTCCTTTCTCCAGTGTATGTTTTAAGTGTCTTTGTCAAAAATCAATTGACTATAAATGCATAGGTTTATTTCTTGGCTTTCTATCAGATTCCATTGGTCAGTTAGTCTATTTTTTTTTCAGGCCAGTATCAATCTGTTTTATTTGCTTTATAATATATTTTAAAGTCAGGTAGTGTAATGCCTCTAGCTTTGTTCTTTTTGCTCAAGATTGTTTTGACAATTCAAGGTCTTTTGTGGCTCCATATAAATTTAAGGTTGTTTTCCTATGATATTTTCTATAAAAAATGACATTGGAATGTTGATATGAATTGCACTGAATCTGTAGATTTCTATGGGTAATATGGATATTTTAATAATGTTAATTCTTTTACTCCATTAACATGGGATATCTTTAGATTTATTTGTGTTTTCTTCAATTTCTTTCACAAGGGTTTTATAGTTTTTAGTATACAAGTCTTATAAAGAAGTATTTGACAATAAAATATGAATATAGATAAGTGTTTTGTTACTGTTGTTGCTATTGTAAATGAAATTGTTTTCTTTTTCAGAAAGTTTATTAGTGTATAAAAATGCCACTAATTTTTATATATTTATTTTGTATCCTACAACTTTACTGAATTTATCAGTTCCACCAGCTTTTTGATAGGGTCATTAGGATTTTCTTTATATAATATGTCATCAACAGAGACAATTTCACTTTTCCCTTTCCAGTTAGGATATCTCTTATTTTCTTCTCTTGTCTAATTGATCTGGGTAGGATTTCCAGAACTATGTTGAAAAAAGTAATGAAAGTGGGCATCCCTGTCTTGTCCCTGATTTTAGAGGAAACGCTTTCAACTTTCACTATTGAATATAGTGTTAGCTATGCATTTGTCATATACGGCTTTTTTGTGTTCAGTTATGTTGCATGTATACCTATTCTGTTCGTGTTTATCATAAAAGGTATTAAATTTTAGTCTGGGAGTGACGGCTTACACCTGTAAGCCAGCACTTTGGGAAGCTGAGGTGGGTGGATCACCTGGGGTCAGGAATTCAAAACCAGCCTGGCCAACATAGTGAAACCCCATTTCTACTAAAACTACAAAAATTAGCCAGGTGTGGTGGCACATCCCTGTAATCCCAGCTACTTGGGAGGCTGAGGCAGGAGAATTGCTTCAGCTTGGGAGGTGGAGGATGCAGTGAGCTGAGAATGCACCACTGCACTTCAGCCTGGGAAACAGAGCAAGACTCCATCTCAAAAAAAAAAAAAAAAGTATTGGATTTTGTGAAATGCGTTTTCTTTTCTGCATCCGTTGAGATAATCATATGGTTTTATCCTTCATTTGTTAATATGATGAATCACATTTATTAATTGGCATATATTGAACCATCCTTGCATTCCAGGGAGAAATTCTACTTGATCATAGTGAATGATCTTTTTAATGTGCTGTTGAGTTTGGTTTGCTAGAATTTTGTTAAGGACTTTTGTATCTATGTTTATCAGGGATATTTGTATTTGTATCTGGCCCTTTCTCAGGCCAGAGCCCCAGTCTGCTCTGCACCAGAGGCCAAGAGGGGGTAGGGGAGGGGATAGGGGAGCTCATGTGGGAAGGAGGGGGTGGGGGGAGCTCATGTGGGAAGGAGGGGGTAGGGGGAGCTCATGTGGGAAGGAGGGGGTGGGGGGAAATCCTGAGAGAAGCAGGGGTTAGTGGGGGGAGCTCCTGTGGGAAGGAGGGATTAGTAGGAAGAGCTCCTGAGAGAAGGGGGTGAAGGGAG